ATAGTGTTCTGTATGTATTTATTTGTGTTCCCCTTGATGGACATATGTTTCTTTAAATTTTTAGCAATATTAAACTCCTTAAGTATAAATTTATAGGAGTTTAAAAGCAGTTAAAAGATAGTTGCAGGGGCGCCTGGGTGGCGCAGTGGTTAAAGCCTCTGCCTTCGGCTCGGGTCGTGATCCCAGGGTCCTGGGATCGAGCCCCGCATCGGGCTCTCTGCTCAGTGCAGAGCCTGCTTCTCTCTCTCTCTCTCTCTGCCTGCTTCTCTGCCTACTTGTGTTCTCTGTCTGTCAAATAAATAAATAAAATCTTTAAAAAAAAAAAAAAGATAGTTGCAGTGCTTGAGAGGTGATAAAGTCCTGAAATAAAGGTGGTGGGGGCCAGATTATGGAGGGTAGTGCCTTAGGCTTTTAAAAACATGTACTAGCCAAATGAGAAGATTGTGTTAAGCTTTACTTTGTCATTTATAGTGTGAAGGCAAGGATTTTTCAAATAAAATGTATGGTATTAAATATGTTTTTCAGTTAAATTGCCATCCTGGACATTATGTATTTAACTGACTCTGTTGAGGATCCCTGGCATAAAAGTTGGTAGATTGAAAAGTTTAAATCTGATCTAAGAGAGAAACACTACAAGTTTCTAGAAAGGGAAGTGAATTATTTTCTTTTGATTTTATTTATTTATTTTAAAGAAAGGTTACTCTGGAGAGAATAAAAGTAGAGAGACCGAAGGTAGGAAGATAGGTGACTGTGCAGTAATCAAGATCTGAAGTGAAAAGGACCTATTAGGGGAGTGGAATTAATTTACATATTTTCCCCCTTTATAGCATTTTTTACAACCAACTATAGTTTACTTAGCTGTGCCCTTACTAGCCCTTTAGATTTTTTGAATGCAGGAAACAATCCATTTCGGTCACCTACACCCTGATTATTAAGATTTTTTTTTTTTAAGATTTTATTTATTTATTTGACAGAGATCACAAGTAGGCAGAGAAGCAGGCAGAGAGAGAGGAGGAAGCAGGCTCCCTGCTGAGCAGAGAGCCCAACGCGGGGCTCCATCCCAAGACCCTGGGATCATGACCTGAGCCGAAGGCAGAGGCTTTAACCCACTGAGCCACCCAGGCGCCCCTATTAAGATATTTTAATTATTTGCTAAATGAATTTTTATCTTACATGTGGTTTTTATCTTCTTTGTATTGACTTTCAGGAACTTTGAACTGCACTAAACATTCTATACTAAGGATATTGTTAGCTAAAGAAAATGTACATGATGTAAAATAATTATAGGTCATGTATATACCAATTCCCTCTTTTTTTCTTTTAAAAGTAGGATGATTCCAGGGGCACCTGGGTGGCTCAGTTGGTTATGCATCTGACTTTTTTTTTTTTTTTTTTTAATTAAATTAAATTAAATTTTATTTTTCAGTGTTCCAAAATTCATTGTCTATGCACCACACCCAGTGCGTCTAACTCTTGATTTTGGCTCAGGTCATGAGCTCAGGGTCCTGAGATCCAGACCAGTGGTGTAGAGCCAGCTTGGGATTCTCCCTATCCCTCTGCGTACCATGCACATCCCATTCCCTCCCACCCCCCAAACTCATGTGCGCATGTGCACTCGCTCTCTCTTGCTCTCAATAGATAATTCATAACATTTATTGAGCATTTATCTTATACCAGTCTTTTCCATTTAGTTATGAAACTGTGCTGTGTAAACTTTCTGTTTACATTTTATAATTAAGGAAACAAAGCAAGACTAAGTAACTTACCAAGGTCACAGCTAATAAGACAGGTGAGTCCTTTTTTCTCTGGCTCAAAAAGCTGTGTTTTCTAGAGTGTTAAACTTCTATCTTTATATTCTCTCCCTTTTTTTTTTTAACGCTTATAATTTTATAAATAGCTATAGTTTTCTGAGTTTCTTGAGAAATATTACTGGAATATTATTTCTTGACTTGTAGGTTGTGTCCTTAACTAAATCCTTTAGGTTGGCATGTTTATGGCCTTCTCCAGAGGTCAGACAAGAAGTATGATGAAGCCATTAAATGTTATAGGAATGCATTAAAATGGGATAAAGACAATCTTCAAATCTTAAGGGACCTTTCTTTACTACAGATTCAAATGAGAGATCTTGAGGGTTACAGGGTAAGTAAAATAGCCATTTTTTTTTATTCTAAGGGGAAAGTAGTATTAAAATATATAAAACTTCTGTGAGTACTTACTGAAAACAAAATTTTCTGTTTTTAAACAGAATTGGATTGACTCTTAATCATCTTCTAGTAGTGATTGTGTATATGTTATGACTAGACTAACCAGATTTTTTAAATAAATTATTTTACTGAGGCAGAATAGGATTACTTTGTAGAATGGAGTTAATTCAGTGAAAATTAACATTGATGTTCCTCAAATAGGCAATGCCTTAGTCTGCTGTTAACGTGTAAATACAACCTTTAGTTCTCACATTTTTCTGGAAAGCGTATTTGTTTCTTCTTTTTACCTCCGCTGAGACTATTCTGTCTTTGTGCCTATATTTTAACCCTTAAATCAGTCTATTAATTCACACCTATAAAGTTCATGTAGTACCTGCTCAGTTGTTTTCTATAGATCTTAACTCAGTAGTTGGGCCCTGTATTTTTAAAAAATGTTTTTCTTATGTACTCTTTCTCATGCTGTCTCTCTCTTTTTTAAAGTAGTTCAGGAATTAATAAAGCATATTTAGTCTTAAGTTCTAAAACAGTTACAAGATTATCTTGGAAGCTCATTGTACTTCTTACCAAATATTGTTTTGCTTCTATAAAGCTATACAATATGGGTGTCTGTAGCTATTTTCTGTTACTATTCCCAGTGTTGTGTTGCAAATTACTCAGCATTGTTGGATAAATTAATTTAATCTTTTTAAAGAGCATTTGCTTTCACTGTAAACCTAAGAAAAAGTGGTTTTTTTCCCTCAAGGAAACGAGGTATCAATTACTTCAGCTTCGCCCTGCACAGAGAGCATCATGGATTGGTTATGCTATTGCTTACCATTTGTTAGAAGATTATGAAATGGCAGCAAAGATTTTAGAAGAATTTAGGAAAACACAACAGGTAACAACCAGAAGCCAGACCTAGTAAACTGGGTCTAATTCTAAGTATAATCATTAAAAAAGAAGTGCATATAGACTTGCAAATTTTTTATTTTGAAATAGTTTCAAACTTCCAGAAAAGTTGCAAGACTAGTACAAAGAACTCTATATATGAGTTCAGTCACATTAATGATAATACTTGGCACATTTACTTTACAATTTTTATTAGTTACTTTTTAAATTTTTTTCCTGAAACATTTGAGAGTAATGCAGACGCCCTGATCTTATACTCCTAAATCTGTTATGTTAGTGTGATATTTCCTGAGAATAATTCTTATCATTATTAACTCTATACATACTACAATATAGATTATCAAAAATTAGGAAATTTAACATTGATAGACTGTTATCTAATCCACAGCTCATATTAAAAATATATTAATTGCTCTATTTATATCCTTTCTAAGATTCCCCCCATTAATGGAATCATACTTTGCATTTAGTTATCATTTCTTTGCAGTCTGATTTAATCTGAAAATTTCGAAGACTTTATCTGTATTTCATGACATTGAAATTTTTGACGAGTACAGCAGGTGCTTGTGGAATGTCCATCAATTTGGATTTCTTTGATGTTTCTTCATTATTAGAAATAGTTAAGAATTTGGGGGAGGAAACTATAGGAGTTATATTTACTCCTTCTCTGTTCATCACATTGAGAAGTGCAGAAGGTTTTTTTGTTCTGTTTAATTACTTGGTTAGGGTGGTGCCTGCCGGCTTTTTATGCTAAAAAATTGTTATTTTTTTCCTCTCTGTATTTAGTAAACAGTTTGAGATTTTATGAGTAGCCTGTTCTTCATCAAACTTAACACTAGTTTTAACATTCATTGATTGTGATTCTTGCCTGAATCAACTGTTCTATGATAGTTAAAAAGTGGTGATTCTTTAACTCTCTTACTTTTTCTAGATTTCTTATTTGACATTCTACTCTTAAGTAAGAGCTTTCCTTTCTCCCCTGTTTACTAATTATATGTAAGGACTTAAGGATTCTAACTTTATTCAGTTAATAAGTTAATACTGTCATTTTTTACTTAGTTGCTCTCTAGACAAATGTTTAAGACTTTTTAGAAAATGAATTTTGTCAGTTATTATCCTTTGATTTCTTAAATGTATTTTGAGTGTTTAAATGGTTTTTTAATATGAAAACAAAATTCTTACTGTTAGTATTCCTTATATCCATATATAGACATCCCCTGATAAAGTGGATTATGAATATAGTGAACTCCTTTTATATCAGAACCAAGTTCTTCGGGAAGCAGGTCTCTATAGAGAAGCCCTGGAACATCTTTGTACCTATGAAAAGCAAATTTGTGATAAACTTGCTGTAGAAGAAACCAAAGGTATTTAAAAAATTTTTTATTTTTATTTACTTATTTATTTTAAAGATTTTATTTATTTGAGAGAGAGAGAGAGAGAGCCTGTGCGTGCACAAGTGTGGGGGTGGGGGCAGAGGGAGAAGCCAACTTCTGCTGAGCAGGGAGCCTAATGTGGGGTTCTATACCAGGACCCTGGGATCATGACCTGAGCCAAAACCAAGAGTTGAACACTTAACTGACTGAGCCGCCCAGGTGCCCCAAAGGTATTTTTCTTTAAAGGATATCATTTATGCTAGTATTTAGTTATGACAAAGAGCGAGACTAAAAAACTAGTTGCTGCTGATAACTGAATATAATTCAGCTTTTTGGTGATAGAAAATCTGTTTCTTGCTCATACACGCTGAATAATTTGTAATGTTGGAAAATACACATTTAAACAATGGATGTTTATATAGGAAAGAATAATTGCAAAAAATAAGATCATTAAATGAAGTGACTCAAGATATTTTTCTTTAAAAATGTTTTTGGCTTGAAAATATTAATAGGGTTTGATCAAAATACGGGAGGTAATTGCTTAATTTTATAAGGCAGGAATTAATTTCTTAGGGACAGCTTATTAGCAAAACTATTGCTATATTGACAGTAATATTTGTTGATAGTCTTTTTTTTTTTTTTAAGATTTTATTCATTTATTTGACAGACAGAAATCACAAGTAGGCAGAGAGGCAGGCAGAGAGAGAGGAAGGGAAGCAGGCTCCCCGCTGAACCAGAGAGCCAGACGCGGGGCTCGATCCCAGGACCCCGGGATCATGACCTGGGCCAAAGGCAGAGGCTCAACCCACCGAGCCACCCAGGCGCCCCGATAGTCAGTCTTTACTGAAGTATATATGGGGCAATAATGAGGTCTTTCTAGTTTATTTGGATGTCTTTCTGGACATAGAATATGAATTGAAACCAGACATTTGGCTTTATGTGTTTGGATTGTGATAAGAGGGATAGATCCCTCAATAAAGCTCTCTAATGCTGCCATTTATTAGAAGGCTGAAAAAAGGAGTCTCGGTTTTAAAACTTGAGGACCTTATTATGGAAAACGAAAGAAGAATAACCAGTAACTGAAAATAGAAGTACTTTTCTAAGAATTACCATCTGAAATGTCTCTTTGCCTGGGTTAGTCCAGGGAACTGATATTTGCTGCTTTCATATTCCTTTGGCTCCTGTTGAAGTTGAACACTAAAAAAGTATGGTACTTGGTTAGGTTTGAGATTGGTGTTGAGGAGCATAACTACCATGACTTCCAGTGCTTTGATGAAACCTCCGATGCGAGGCCTTCTGGCCAAGCATCTGTGATTTTATGTTGTTGGAGCCTTTGTTGTGTATCCCTGGGGGTTACAGCTTTCTCTAAGTTTGCTGTGGCCGAACCAAGAAAGAAAGCATATGCAGATTTCTACAGAAATTATGATTCCATGAAAGATTTTGAGATGAAGAAGGCTGGTATCTTTCAGAGTGCAGAGGGATTTTGGAATGTATAGAATTGCTTTGGGTTGAGTTCATTTGAAGTTTGTCACTGACCTGTGTTCCTGAACTATGAAGCACGGATATTGGGTTATGGAATTGTTTGTCTTGATAAATAAACAACTAACAAATACTTTGGACAGTTAAAAAAAAAAAAAGTACGGTACTTGCTTACATAGTGGATATGACCATTATTTGCCAGATGAGCTTTCAGCAGAGGATACTGCTATTGGCAAGAAAAAAAAATGGAAGTCTGTACCTCTTCTGGAGCTCATTTGTGAGCTATATAGATCCAGAAGAGCTGACTTTCCTTTGAATTGATCATTCTGTAACAATCTATTAGTTATAAAGGAAGGGTATTTCTGACTTCATGGAAAGATCACAAGATTGGAAAAAACTAGTTTGGATTTCTTTAATGGTTACTATAACTAGCTGTATGACCAGTCACAAGGCTTGGACGTTTGTTTCTTTATCAAAATACATGCTAGTTTTCAAAATACTCTTAAGTACCTCATTTCATTTGATCACTTTGATAATTATATTAGCAAGAAAGAATGACAGATCAAGTTAGGCGAGGATTCACAATTGATCAGTGGATTTTAGGAATTTGGAAGTCATTGGTGACTTTAACAAAAGCATTTTCTGAACATTTGGAAGGAGGGTGGAAAAAGTTAAACAAATTAAGTAGAATTAAATGACATTGGAAGTCAAGTAATTAAAGATAGAATGCATGGATGACTCATAAAAGGAGTTTTGTTATCTAGGGAAACAGATAAGTGGGGTTGTGCTAGATGAAATAGAATACAGACTCAAAAGGTTTTTTTACAGTATCTGCTTAGGCTCACTGGAGAATGATCCAGTAGAGACAGAATATTTGATACAACAGAGAAGATGTGATCTAGTGGTAAGTTGAAAGATTAGCTTTAGGTAACAACATGAATAGTTCACAGTAGCAAGAGAGGGTAGAATATATAGGCAAGTAGATATATAGATGTAGTGGGTATTTGGGAGTTCTTTTCTTATTGCTTCCATGTTCTCAGTGAAATAGGAAACAGCCATCATTTCATTCCAAAAAGTATGTATTGATAATTACAGTGAGTCAGGTGATGGGCACGGGGTATATAAAGAGAATAGAAAGGAACTGAGAGTAGTAGAACATTAATCTTTGGAAATTCCAGTAATAAAGGCATTGTTAGTGGTCTGAATAATTTGCAAACTTCTGGAGAGGGCATAATTAGCAGAAACTTTCATTGTTGATTCTTAAACCACCGGTTCCTTCTACAAAGAAGAGGTGGGAGAAAATTAAAGAAATGTTGGGTGGGTATAGTATAGGCGAGAAAAGTTGCAGGATTTTTTTGTTCTCAGTGAGGTAGGCTTTTGATTAGTAGAGAGCAGGTTTATCAACCTTGGCACTGTTTTGGGACTGAGATGTTGGGGGTGGAAGTTTCCTGTACGTTGTAGAACATTTAACAACATCCCTAGCTTCTACTTATCAGAATACCAGCAGCACAACCTATCCCTTACTGTGATAACCAAAAAATGTCTCCAGATAATGACAAAAGTGCCTTTGGCTGAGAGCCACTGATGTTAAGAATATGGGCTTTTTTTTTTTTTTTTTTTAAAGATTTTATTTATTTATTTATTTGACAGACAGAGATCACAAGTAGATGGAGAGGCAGGCAGAGAGAGAGAGAGAGGGAAGCAGGCTCCCTGCTGAGCAGAGAGCCCGATGCGGGACTCCATCCCAGGACCCTGAGATCATGACCTGAGCCGAAGGCAGCGCTTAACCCACTGAGCCACCCAGGCACCCAGAATATGGGCTTTTTAAGCCACATTACTTGGATTCAAATCCTGATTCCAACAATTAACTATCTGACAGTCCCTCAGCAAGTTTGCTTATGTTCTCTCTGCTTTAAAATGATGAAAATAATGTTTTTTTTTTTTTAAGATTTTATTTATTTATTTGACAGAGATCACAAGTAGGCAGAGAGAGAGAGAGAGAGAGGAGGAAGCAGGCTCCCAGCCGAGCAGAGAGCTGATGCAGGGCTTGATTCCAGGACCCTGGGATCATGACCCGAGCCGAAGACAGAGGCTTTAACCCACTGAGCCACCCAGGCGCCCCCAGAATAATAGTGTTTTGAGAATTGAATAACTTAATGCATATGAAACCATTGAAAGTTAGTGGCACACAGTGAATACCCTGTGTTTGTCTTTATTGTCTGATGAGAGCAGAGCGTGCAAGGGTGAAGTTGTGGTTTGAAAATAATGCCTTTGGTGGATGGAAACCCATTAAAGATAAGGAAACGTGTACCTGAGCAGTGTTTGAAGCTCATTTGACTTTGGAACTCATAGATTTCTAGTGAAACTGGTGTCTCTGTCCATTCTTCTAATGACGTTTTGTGAGAACATGTGTAGCAAGCAAACATTTGGGATGATCCAGGCCTTGAAATTGGTAAATAAGGGAGCCTTGTGTTTTGAGACTGATTTTGATATTTGGGTCTCAATGTCATTTGGGGATGAGATTTGTCGTGCAGCTCAGAGAAAACCAGCAATGAATCTGTGACTTACTGCAGGGTCTGAAGGAAAGGGAATGGTTTTTCTCTAAGATTAGTGAGACAGTAATAAGCTAGACAAGACAGTGAAGCTTAAAGCAAGATAGGTGTCCTATTTGGTAGTTGGAAGAGCTAGAAAAAGCAGGTTTTGAATGTGGCCATGACTGTGGGCTGCTATAGCTGAATCCTTTTATAATTTATTTGGAGATCATAAGGTTAGAGTGTTGGATTTGGTCAGTAATTCAGATATGAAATTGTGTTATGTCAGGCATAATTAAGTACCAGATGGGTGGCTTGGTAACTGTGTTTAGTGAATTTGGGAATAGCCTGTAGTTAGACAAATACCTTAATTGGTCGAGGATGTGGAAAGGATGGCATTTCTACATAAGAACTTCAAAAAGAGACAATAATATTTGTTGAAGGGTATTGGGAATTGAGAATGATACCGAATCCAATTCCCAACATTGGAGAGGCCTTAAGAGAAAGTTTAAAGAAAAGTTAAAGTTATAATCAGAAGATATCTAGTTAATTTAATTTGTTTTTCATCAGGGGAACTTCTGTTGCAGTTAGGTCGTTTGGAAGATGCAGCCGATGTTTATAGAGGATTACAAGAGAGAAATCCTGAAAACTGGGCCTATTACAAAGGTCTGGAAAAGGCACTCAAACCAGGTAGTATTAAAACTTATAAGTTTTAATTGTACCTTTTGTTGATAAATATTTTATTAACTTATTGAAAAGCATAACTTAGAAAAATAGTCGTTAAGAATTGATTTCAGAAAAAAAAAGAATTGGTTTTAGAATCTGAATACAAAAGTACAGTAGCAAACTTCCATTTAATATGGGAGAGTGAGCATTTTCTGAAACTTCTCTTCCACACATTTATAGAAATAGTTGAGAAAAGAATTCAGAAACAACTTGCAGAAATTCACAAATGGCATGGCAGCTACAAAAATTGAAAGGGAAATTCCTACTGATAGAAATGTCTCCTCACTTAGAGAGATATCTCCCTAAAGGAAAGAAACAAGCGTAACTTCTGTGGCCACAGCAGCATGGCCTCCCAAGGGCATATGAATGTAACCAAGCTGAAAGAGCAATACTGTTTCCTATGTGGGAAGAGGGACTAAATTTCCATCACTCAAATGAACTTGGGTCCAGAGAGTCTCCCCACAACTTCCTTTCATCCTCTCCCATGAACGGGACCTAATTGGGAGGACAGACCCAGAAACATGTCATCTACAAATAGGGTCCTTAGCCATGATGATCTGATTTGAGGCTGTCTCCTCCAAGACTGGAAGTGAGCCATTACTGATATATTGATAAATACAAGAGAAACCTTATAACAAGGAATATTTTACTATTCTGGAACACTATCACGGGAATGGTTATCATTAGTACAGCAAAAGAGAGTAAATGGAGGAATTTAAGATGAAAAAAGGGAATTGTAGCCATGAAGTATGAAGTTTTGAGAAAGTACCAATTAGGAATTTAAGAAATGAGAAGCCTACTTCTCGACATAAAAATCTTAACAGATTGAATGAAAGAGAGTCCACAAGTGAGGAGAAATTAGTGAACTGGAAGACTAAACCGAGGAGAGCTCTCAGCTAAGAGTAAAACAAAATATAAAAGAAATAAGGAAAAATGGAAGATGAGGGGATAGATCCAAAAGTTCTGTAATAAAGGATATACTGAAGAGAATAGCAGAGAAGCTATGGAAAAATAATAACCAAGGTTTTCTTAGAAATAAAGTAAACTCTGAGTCCTTAAATTCTGAAAGGTACCTAAAGCAGAATGGATTAAAAAATTACATATTTTAGATGATTATAGGTATTTAAAATATGAAAATATTAGGAAAAAATACTCTAAAATGATTGGTGTATTTGGGTGGTTATTTGAAATTTTCTTTTCACCTTCAACTTTTCTGCTTAATAAGAATTTATATATACTTGGAGAAATTTATAATTTGTTAAAAAAACATACAAGTTATAATTATATATAAAAATAATTTTTTCTTTGTTTGCAGCTAATATGTTAGAACGACTAAAAATTTATGAGGAAGCCTGGACTAAATATCCCAGGGGACTGGTGCCAAGAAGACTACCGTTGAACTTTTTATCTGGTGAGAGTAATTGCAAAGGAATGAAAATGTTAGGATTTATAGTTTGTTTTCTTGGTTTTAGATATATGAATATGCATATTAATATTAAAGTATGCATTTTAGAGTTGTCTGGGTAAATGCAAATCAACAGAATTTTCTTCTTCCAAGGTGAGAAGTTTAAAGAATGTTTGGATAAGTTTCTAAGGATGAATTTCAGCAAAGGTTGCCCACCAGTCTTCAATACTTTGAGGTCATTATACAAAGATAAAGAAAAGGTAAAGCAAAATACCATTTTTCCCCCCACTATCATTTCTTTGCTCAGTATTTGGAATTGTTGATTTCTGATTGTCTGTGTACATGGTACACATTTGGTGAATCTGGTATCTGTTTTCCTATCTTGCAGTTTAAATGCTTCTGTACCTCTTTATTTTCCTGTTTTCTCTTTTATTTCTGCTATTTACTTTGAGTCTGTGTAGGTATGGAAAGTTCGTAAGG